GAAGATTAAGGAACAACAATCTGCAACATTACTGATAGATAATTTAGCTTAGCTTATACCGTCCGTTATACATTAAACGCGCATGCGAAACGTATTCTGCGCTGCGTACGCATATGCGCAGTCGTATGTCTTGAATGCGCAGAAAGATTTTAGCTTTGAGGTCCGGATTATAGATCATTCTGGATTATGATTGTCTGAATTAACGACTTTTGACTGTATTTTAATTTTTATGTATTTTTGCCTTGCTGTGAAATGAGAACTGGATTAGTTAATAGCGCATGCACATTAGATAAGTGGCGCTAAATCATCTGTGGAAAACTGTTTCTTTTTTATTTGTTTAATTTCTCTTACACATCGTTTTAGATTTATTATAGTATTTGAATATAACATGCGGTAATTCTTCACATGATATAGTTTTTGTGCACTCTGAGTTATAAAATGAATGTTGATGCTGTTAAGTGAACGTAGCGCTGAAGTGTCGCTATGGTAAATAAATATAGTGAACTTTAAAGAATGCATTTGTTCTATTGTGGTTTACACGCTATTAATGAAGTATATTTAATTCAAAATTCGTTTACTGTTAATTCAACATGTTTAAATGAAATGCCGGAAAATTGCGTATGATTTAATATTCTGTACAATTGAGTCATGTGATGTACACATCAGATTTTTTGAATTGTTAATATCCTTCGTTTAGTCTGCACAAAAAAGTATTTTTATGAGATGTAATTATGTTTTGTTATAAAAATTGCTCTTCCTTTATTTAAAGATAGTTATTTTAATATTTAGCATTAACTTTGCAGAGTAATCTAAAAGCTTTCAAATGCCGTATATTTATATTATATACCTAATATTTATTTACTTATCTATTTGTATTATTATTTTGCTAACAGGACCTACCGCTATAGGGAGTCCAGAAACATTACAGGACATTAAGCGGAAATGTTTTGATTTTCTATTGAGACAGTTCGGAAAAGATGCTCTAACTGCGCCAGAGTTATTGTTTCCTGAGCTATATCTGAAGGCATTTGATGATTATCCTATTGGACCATGTGGTGAATCTGAATCTTACTTTGGAATTGGACCATTTGTTGTTGATTTTGGTATGCACAACTAGAATTTTCACTTTTAAAATTTATGTGTGTTCACCTTTGAATTATTCATGCAATAAATTAAACTGAAGTGTTGAAATATTAGACTCGTGCAACTAACAAAGCTAAGTTGTTCCATGGTCCTGAGTAGCAGCAGCTTCTAGGCATACTACTGAAGCCACAAGGTACTGAAATCAGCATTGAGGTGTGTCAAGCCAGGAGCATTCTCCAGCTTTTCATGATTCTATTTATTTGATGTCCTTTTAAGACCACCAATTGAGATTGAGTATTTATGAAGCACTTTTTGGGCTCCCCGATAAGCAAAATTTAAATCTGGGGAGTAGTGGGCACCTAGAAATCTATACAGGGTTAGTCATTTATTTGTCATGTATGCATGATGAAGGTTGCACCAATATTGGTTTTTGGAAAAACCTGGTATTTGCAAAATAATTAAAATGTTGTATATTAATTTGATAGAATTAGTGAGTTTCACCTTTTTAATAACTAATGTATGTCATCATCTTAAGACTTTTACATATCAAAAACTGTGAAGTATGCAAAATGTTACATTTTTTAAAAAACTTTTTTAAAGTATTATTCAGTTATTCAGGAAATGATTCAGAAGCAGCATCTCAATAAATACCCCCCCCCAAAAAGTCAAACAAATATCTATGCGTCATGAGAAATGGTGCTTGGTGAAATTTAAAGTATTATTCAGTTTATCAGGATGATCATCAGCACTCAAAAATACCCCCCCCCCAAAAAAAAGTACCGAACAAAAATATGTAATGCTTCATGAAGAAATTTGAGTGCATGGTTGAAAATACGGAGAGTGGGTCTTGGAACTGATTTTTCTATTCCTCCAACGGAAGTGGAAGCTACATCATTCATGAGATTATTATGCAAGAAAACTCAAAAGATTCTAAAAAATCCAAATTGACTGGCAAATAAGTGCGAGCAATAATTCTAAAAACTAGGATGTTTTATTCTAACAATAGAATGGCACTGAGGACTTTTCCACCTTCTTCTGTTTAATGTTTGTTAAATTTCTGTTTAATGTAATGAGTATGTTTACTAATCTTGCATTTTAAAGCATTATGGGCTTATCTTATCTACTCAAAACCATAAAGAATTTTACAAATGCCGCATGAATTGAAGATCTAGTATTCCATCATTTATAAGTGAAAACTTGATTTTATTTACAAGTAGAAAGGAAACTGTAAAACCATATTGCTTGAAGAATTTAGAAAGATAGTATTGGATTTTAGGATGAAAGCTGACAAATAGAAAGAATTGAAGGTGATGGCAGTTTGAAATGTTTTTTTATATGTAGTGTCTGAGGTCTAGAAAAATAACCATGAGACTCAGTACCTTTCAGAATATTACATTCTTTATCAGAATGGAAGGAGATAAGCATGAATGAGTTTTTGAAATAAGAAAATGGTAAACAGCCTCTTTTGTTGTTGTTTATGATTCTGAACAGAGTAAGCATATGGGAGCTAGGATACGGTAAACATTTATAAAACTGTTTATGTCAAATACATTTTTTAATTGCAGAACAAGTACATCTAAGAATGGAAGAGAATGGTTGAGTTCAGCTTAAAATGTAAATTGTATGTTCACATCTAAAATGTTCAGAGTTGAAAGTAAATCTTGAAATTCAAAAGTGATTTATTTGAAACTGGTAGATTTTTAAGCAAATTTAACATAGCATTAATTGTGTTACAATATTTTTTTGTGTCATTTAAAAAGTAATTGTAAAAATATTGAGGAAAAATTATCTTAGAAAAACTTTACCTGTATTCTGATTCAGAAGTAGCTATTGTTAGTCAAAATGTATTAGAGATATTGGGTTTCAGCAGCTTTATTGACTTTTCTCTTTTTTCTACCTCCTAAATTTCTTTTTGTGTTAAAAGTTAGCCTTAATTAAGTTACTAATTCAGAAGTCAAACAACAAAAATCAGCGTTAATTTACAAAATTTTCACAGGACTAGTTTTGATGGTTTTACCGAACCATCATCTTCAGCTGCAAAACCGCAAATGACAAGATAGGACATAATGTTAGATAAGATAGAAAAAGCCTGGAAAGAATAAGCAAGTGGCGCCATCTGTTGGCGAACCAGAACTAAAACATAATTTCTCTAAAGCCAAGGCAATTTGGATTGGAATTAGGATCGTTACTAGAACAGAAGATTTTTATGAATGTGAAATGCCTCTAGAAAATCCAGTTCTCCAATGGAAAGATGTTTTTGAATAATTTTGGAAGCAGAAAAAAAAATTGAAAGTGTGATTTTCGGACCAACAATGTTGAGCAACAGAAGACTTTGTGTTTCCTTTTTCTAACATATGTCTCATGTTCCTTTGACGCGAAATTTTAAGGCTCTCTTAGTTTGGCCAATGTAAATTAACCGCACTGGCAAGGAATCCTATAATACCCCAGGATTCATATCTGGAATGGGGTCTTGGTATAGAAGTTGGAATTTTATTGATGGGAGAGTAAACAACCCGAAAGTTAAATTTCTGCAAATATGTGCAACTTTATAGCTATGATGGAAAGAAGGGAATGACAACAGAATTTTTATAATCTCCTAAAATAAGGAGTGTGGCTTTTAGTGTGTTGAGATGAGAATTTTTAACTGCTTGATTAATAATGTTGGTGAAAAGCCCTGTCAATAGCTATTGCTTTTAAAAATTTAGTTCTTCATCAAGGGCTAGTTTGGAGGAGCAAACTTGAAGAGCACGGAAACATAGGAATAAAATGAAGCTAAAACTTTTGTTTAGTCGGATGACATGATTTAAAGTGTGGTGGAAGGCAACCGATGAAGGTTTACGGTAAAAACTGTAGTACTGAAGTTGGATGTCTTACGTGTGACCAGAATGTCGAGAAACGGAAGAGAATGCAAGTCTCAAGTTCAAAAGTGAACTGAATAGCAGGATCAATAGAATTCATTGTTGAAAGAACTCTATTTAAATCATCTTTATTACCTTCAAACAGGTAAAAGTATCGTCTACGTAGCGGAACCATGCCGGGAAGTTTAAAGTTTCAAACAATTTTGATTCATAATAATGCATGTAGATATCAGCCAGGATGGGACTGAGGGGGCTTCCCATGCTATCCCTCAGTTTGCTTGTAATATTTATTTGGAAAACAAATGTGTTTGTTTCAAACAGAGTTGAGTGAGAGAAATTAGCTCATCAATTTCGATGCAAGAGAAATGAAATTCGCGAAGTCTGGTTTCTAGACATCTTAATGCCCCTCCACTGGGAACATTGTGAATAATGATTTTACATCAAAAGAAAACCATGAGTAAAATTACGAGGAGAAATGTTTTAACCTTTTTTACAAATCTATTGAATTTTTTTATGGTGTAATGTTATTGTCTAATAGAGTGGAAAATCTAGAAACTAAAATATTTAGCTAATGGATACGAGGCAGTACCTAAATTTGATACAATGGGCAGAAAGGAATACAACTTTTATGAATTTTGGGAAGAGCATATAATCTTTCACAATTCGCAACAGATGGGATAAGCGAATGTTTTAAGTTGCTTGAAATGATTTGCGAAGATTTGATCGCGTTAGTTTTTATTTTGGTAAGTCCGAAGGGTGAAGGATCTTTAGGGATCGGATTATATGGTCCTTCGTTAAGAGTTTAGTGACACATCGATGTAAGTTTCTTATCCATGACGACTATCTGGCCACCTTGCGGCCTTGAAATGACAATATAGGGTTAGAATGAATTCGTGCATGTAGCTCTTTCTCACAGTTAGATTTGGTTTCAAAGGTTAGTATTGATTTCACATTATGAGCGATAAGATGCCTAATCATTTCTTTCTGTGAATGAAACTTACTGAACTGAAAGTTTTTCGATAGGAGCCAAATCTTGGAATCGAGGGTTTACAGGTTTGTGAGAAGTTAAAATTATATTTAGATCTCTCTTGTTCTTCGAAAGACTAACATTAGAAATATTAACGATGCTTGATGTTTACAATGGGAAGATTTTTTTGAACTACTTAACTGGAAGACTGTAAAAAGTTTTCGAATTTAACTGCAAGGGTTGTTTTTATGAAGGTTACTGCATTCTCCGTTCTAGACCAAGACTTTGTTCAAGGCAGGGAATTTGGAATGAATTAGGAGTTCAGATGAAGCTATAGAGTTCATGTTCAATTTGGACAATTGTTGAGTGTATCCCTTATGAGGACCGAAAGTAAGGCAAGTTTGATTTAACAGAATTCTTGAAACGCGACTCGAAGGTTTGATTAGATTGATTTGAATAAATTGGGATCAATTTTTTACATTTACATTAAGTAAAAAGTCAAGATGATCAGGAATTTTTGCTTCGGTGTAATTTAGTGAACGATTAATGGATGAAGGCATGATAAACAATGCAGAAAATCACTAAATAATGAGCACATAAAACACCAAAATAGCAGAAAAATCCCTCACTGAAATGATAGAAAACAAAATGTTGTAACAAAATGCATGAAATCAGACAAGCAAAGCACAATATCCAAAATGGACAAAACATAAAAAACTTGAAATTGCAAAAAGTACTCACCGAAACCCTACAATCACAAAATGGCGGCCACACCACGTGCAAAAAAGAAGCAAAATGTAAGCCTGTTTGGGCTTCTATAATTAAGACACAAAACACCCGATATAATTGTGCCCGATTATATGCTCTTCCCAAAATTCATAAATGGTATTCTTTCCGCCCTATTGTATCAAATTTAGGTACTGCCTCGATCCATTAGCTAAATTTTGTTTCTAGATTTTCCACTCTATTAGACAAATAACATTTACACCATAAAAAATTCAATAGAGTTTGTAAAAAAGGTTAAGGCTCTTCTAGTCTAGTCTAGGTTAAAAACATTTCTCCTCGTAATTTACTCATGGTTTCTTTTGATGTAAAATCATTATTCACCAATGTCCCAGTGGAGGGTGCATTAAGATGTCTAGAAACCAGACTTCGCGAATTTCATTTCTCTTGCATCGAAATTGATGAGCTAATTTCTCTCACTCAACTCTGTTTGAAACAAACACATTTTGTTTTCCAAAATAATATTACAAGCAAACTGAGGGATTAGCCATGGGAAGCCCCCTCAGTCCCATCCTGGCTGATATCTACATGCATTATTATGATGAATCAAAATTGTTTGAAACTTTAAACTTCCTGGCATGGTTCCCTACGTAGACGATACTTTTACCCTGTTTGAAGTAAGGTAATAAAGATGATTTAAATAGAGTTCTTTCAAACAATGAATTCTATTGATCCTGCTATTCAGTTCACTTTTGAACTTGAGACTTGCAGTTTCTCTTCCGTTTCTCGACATTCTGGTCACACGTAAGACATCCAACTTCAGTACTACAGTTTACCGTAAACCTTCATCGGTTTGCCTTCCACCACACTTTAAATCATGTCATCCGACTAAACAAAAGGTTAGCTTCATTTTATTCCTATGTTTTCCGTGCTCTTCAAGTTTGCTCCTCCAAAACTAGCCCTTGATGAAGAACTAAATTATTTAAAAGCAATAGCTATTGACAGGGGCTTTTCACCCAACATTATTAATCAAGCAGTTAAAAAAATTCTCATCTCAACACACTAAAAGCCCACTCTTATTTTAGGAGATTATAAAATTCTGTTGTCATTCCCTTCTTTCCATCAATTAGCTATAAAGTTGCACAATATTTGCAGAAATTTAACTTTCGGGTTGTTACTCTCCCATCAATAAAATTCCAACTTCTATACTCAAGGACCCCATTCCGGATATGAATTCCTGGGTATTTATAGGATTCCTTGATAGTGCGGTTTAATTTACATTGGCCCAAACTAAGAGAGCCTTAAAATTTCGCGTCAAAGAACATGAGACATATGTTAGAAAAAAGGAAACACAGAAGTCTTCTGTTGCTCAACATTGTTGGTCCGAAAATCACATTTTCAATTTTTCTGCTGCCAAAATTATTCAAAAAACATCTTCCATTGGAGAACTGGATTTTCTAGAGGCATTTCACATTCATAAAAATCTTTCTGTTCTAGTTAACGATCCTAATTCCAATCCAAATTTGCCTTCGGCTTTTAGAGAAATTATGTTTTAGTTGGGTTTCGCCAACAGATGGCGCCACTTGCTTATTCTTGTCCAGGCTTTCTTATCTTATCTAAACATTATTTCCTATCTTGTTCATTTGCGGTTTTGCAGCTGAAGATGATGGTTCGGTAAAACCATCAAAACTAGTCCTGTGAAAATTTTGTAAATTAACGCTGATTTTTGTTGTTTGACTTCTGAATTAGTATTTATTCGGCGTGTTATTGTGTCTTACTTAATTAAGTTATTAAAATAGTGTTCTTAATATTTTGAGTAGAAAGGCTCAAAACTGCTTCTGAAGTGCTGTATTTACAAAGTATCTATTACCTTTATTTATTCAAGTATTAATTTTGCTGGTAACTTCAAATCATAGAATGATTTCCTGACTCATTGAATATGCAAGATAGTGGGAGGTAGCATATGTAAATTGGCCATAAATCTCATGATCAGATAAATATCGTCATGACTGTTTGAGAGGTAAAGAAAGGTGATTGTGATTAATGCTTGAAAATATATATGAATTGGAAGTATATTTAAAGGATGCAAATATTATTCAAAGTTGTAGAGTTTGATTCTGTTTAATTGAATAATTTTTCATTTTAAAATGACTGCATGAAATAAACAACTGTTGATATCAGTTGCTAAAGGATTTTTATATCGTGAAACACAGTGCCAAGCTATAGAACTTTTATGCTTAGCTATGCAGCTAGAAAAGTAATATGTAATGTGAAAGTAAATAGGAGGATAAATTGTATTAATTATGCCAATTTTTAAATTCAGAGAAGTTAACTGTAAGCTTCTAGTTTACATATACATATCATGTCAAAAGTTAATATACATATTAAATTACTGTTACATAAACTGCATGTAGTCAGTCAGTCATACCGGTATCGCAGAGATATCGCGCAGAGTACGACGTATCCTGCTCAATGATAGAATTACCCGTATGGGCACATGACGGTAAAAACAGGATGGGCCAAGGAGGCATTGGAGGTAGGTGAGAGGAGGTGACCATGCAGAGAAATACCAAGTAGAGGCTGGTGTTGCGCAATCTGACGAGTGTCTGTTCGTGACATATACATGTATAAAATAATAAACAGAAAGTTAAAATAAAATAAAATTATTTACAGGGTACATAAATACACAAATAAGGTACAAAATAAAATACAAATCCAATCAAAATAAATATTTACATATGTACAAAGTGTTCGTGAACTATCATAATTAAGTAGGGAAATTTGCATTCCTCGTGATATGTGCAGCATACGGTCTTATTTTGTAGTCCTCTTGCAGAGGTATATAATCAAACGTGTTGAATTGAGCAAGGTACGGGCAATTGACAGCTCTATCGAAGAAACTGCTGTTGGTGCGGTGAAGAAATTTGTCAACAGCCTCAATTTTTAGATCTCTATGAAGCGTGTCATTAGAGACAAAGTAGTGTGCGTTTGTCATTAAACGCAGGGCTTTGTTTTGGATAATTTGCAATTTATTTATATCTCTATGTATTAAACTGCATGTATATGAAGCTAAAGTATTTAAAAACAGAGTTTAAAAACAAACAAAAAAAGAGGGGAATTTTTGGATAAAAAATGCTTAAATTCTTTTAGCCAGATATCAGGAGGGAAGCATAATTTTTGGCAGGGGGTAGGGAAGTGTGGATATAGCAAGATTTTTTTCTTCTCCCAATCTCATTCACTTGAGCCTTCACAGTATAAAATTTAGCAGAAAAGATTTCTTCAGTATGACAAAATGTTTTTCATGTTATGTGGGTTTATAGTTATAAAATTATGCAAATAATAATAAATATTAATTTTTTATGCATACATTTAAAATTTTTCTTTAGAAATAACTGCTGATTTTAATATTATTCCATTTATATTTTTATAGACTCCTCTCGGTACAATGAATGGTGTAGTACCTATATTCTGGATTCTAGGACACCAAAGTTAAATGCTTTACGAATTCTGCGGGCCATGCAGTTGTCAAAACCAATTTTATTGGAAGGTAGTCCAGGTGTTGGAAAAACAAGTATGATCAGTGCTTTAGCTAAAGCCTCTGGGCATAAGTTGGTGCGCATTAACCTGTCAGAGCAAACGGTATGAAAACCTTCTTAAATAGCAGTTTGCATTAACAATTTTATTACTCATTTGTTTTCCTGTTTTTATTTTTTCATTGAACATTTGTTTTATACTGTGTCTCATTGTAAAATAATGTTGCACTATCATTCATAAAGTTTTCTATGTTCGTGCCTACAATTCTTTATGTATGTAATGTTGTTTCTTAAATTTAAGATTAAGTATTTTTTGTAAAAATTAAACTCATTTCAGGATATATCTGATTTGTTTGGCGCTGATTTGCCTGTTGAAGATGGTGAGAAAGGTGAATTTGCTTGGCATGATGGGCCATTACTTCAAGCTTTAAATCAGGGTGACTGGATTTTACTTGATGAGGTGAAACTGATGTTTATGCTTGCTTTTTATAATTTTTTATAATTCATGTACAGACGTATATTGATATTTTTTGAATGGTAATGAATAAAATAGGCTATGTAATGTTAACATTTTGCTCTTAATTTCTGCCTTTTTTTTTGTATTATAAATTTTTTGTAGACTAATGTAAAAAGTATGTGTACAAATTTTATGTTTGCTGTTTCATTTGCAAGGTTACTAACTCTTTGCTGAAAAGCCCGCCTTTTTTTTAATTCATGCAAAAATCTCTCTCACTCTTTTTTTAATATGTGTGCGTGTGTGTATAGCATTGTGTATTACTAAAATTATTCATCTTAATATCATCATTCATTCATTTTTAAGTTATTCATCTCTCATCTAATTTCTTTCCTTCTTGGAAAAAATGCAAATTGTAAAATTTCGATTATTTGATGCTTTTCAAAAGTGTTTGTTAATTCAAGTGTAAGCTTTAGATGTGTGGTAAGTTTACATTATAATTCTGTCTTATTTGTAGCTGAATCTGGCTTCTCAGTCTGTTCTTGAAGGGCTGAATGCATGTTTGGATCATAGGAATGAAATACATATTCCTGAACTTGGTCAAACATTCCATGTAAGAAAGCATGTTTCCCGAATATTTGGATGTCAGAATCCTCATAGGCAAGGAGGAGCTCGTAAAGGCCTGCCAAGATCATTTTTAAATCGGTTTACTCAGGTAATTTTTGTGATTCATTTTTTAATAAGCTAGTTGTAATTTATTTAGAGTGGTTCTGATCTGATAACTTGCTCCCACCTTTTATTGTAACACATTTGAAATGTTTCATACTATTGTTTGCTCAACAGATTTGATGTGCATTATCTTTTATTAAAATCAAACCATTGAAGTAAGCTGAAGAAATGCAAATTAAAGTACTATAGGCTTTTATGATGATCGATTTGGTGTATTTGATTATGCCAAAAGTATATATAGCAAGAGCTATCTGTTTAAGAGGACGGAGTGCCTTTGTGGAGGACTTTCTAAAGGAAGCTGGTTCATATCCCAGAGTTGCCAACTCTCCCGATTTAGGCAGGAGACTCCCGATTTTTGATCGCTCTCCTGCCAACCCGATTTACAATAATTTTCTCCCGACATTTTCTTATTCTTATATTCTCACGATTTTTGGAACTTGGCTTATACTTCGTTTATATGGGGGGGGGGAGTGATTATGGACGTCTGAAAGCAACTGAATTTTCTCTAGATTATATCTAAAATAAACCTTGGGAATCAGATGAGAATTTCTGCTTTGTGAGTGACAACATACATATCCAGAACATGGACCTTATAAGAGATAGACTAACCCAGTGGCCGGGGCGCGCGTCATGGACATGTCGGCAAGAAAGAGTAGGAGCATTTGCAAGGTTACTAACTCTTTGCTGAAAAGCCCGCCTTTTTTTTAATTCATGCAAAAATCTCTCTCACTCTTTTTTTAATATGTGTGCGTGTGTGTATAGCATTGTGTATTACTAAAATTATTCATCTTAATATCATTATTCATTCATTTTAAGTTATTCATCTCTCATCTAATTTCTTTCCTTCTGGAAAAAATGCAAATTGTAAAATTTCGATTATTGATGCTTTCAAAAGTGTTTGTTAATTCAAGTGTAAGCTTTAGAAGTGTGGTAAGTTACATTATAATTCGTTTTTTGTAGCTGAATCTGGCTTGTATTGTAACACATTTGAAATGTTTCATACTATTGTTTCTCAACAGATTTGATGTGCATTATCTTTTATAAAATCAAACCATTGAAGTAGCTGAAGAATGCAAATTAAAGTACTATAGGCTTTTATGATGATTGATTTGGTGTATTGATTATGGCAAAAGTATATATAGCAAGAGCTCTGTTTAAGAGGACGGAGTGCCTTTGTGGAGGACTTTCTAAAGGAAGCTGGTTCATATCCCAGAGTTGCCAACTCTCCCGATTTAGGCAGGAGACTCCCATTTTTGATCGCTCTCCCGCCAACCCGATTTACAATATATTTCTCCCGACATTTTCTTATTCTTAATATTTCTCACGATTTTTATGGAACTTGGCTTAATACTTCGTTTATATGGGTGGGGGGAAGTGATTATGGACGTCTGAAAGCAACTGAATTTCTCTAGATTATATCTAAATAAAACCTTGGAATCAGATGAGAATTTCTGCTTTGTGAGTGACAGCATACGTATCCAGAACATGGACCTTATAAGAGATAGACTAACCCAGTGGCCGGGGCGCGCGTCATGGACATGTCGGCAAGAAAGAGTAGGAACATTTGCAAGGTTACTAACTCTTTGCTGAAAAGCCCGCCTTTTTTTTAATTCATGCAAAAATCTCTCTCACTCTTTTTTTAATATGTGTGCGTGTGTGTATAGCATTGTGTATTACTAAAATTATTCATCTTAATATCATTATTCATTCATTTTTAAGTTATTCATCTCTCATCTAATTTCTTTCCTTCTTGGAAAAAATGCAAATTGTAAAATTTCGATTATTTGATGCTTTTCAAAAGTGTTTGTTAATTCAAGTGTAAGCTTTAGAAGTGTGGTAAGTTTACATTATAATTCTGTCTTATTTGTAGCTGAATCTGGCTTGTATTGTAACACATTTGAAATGTTTCATACTATTGTTTGCTCAACAGATTTGATGTGCATTATCTTTTATTAAAATCAAACCATTGAAGTAAGCTGAAGAAATGCAAATTAAAGTACTATAGGCTTTTATGATGATTGATTTGGTGTATTTGATTATGCCAAAAGTATATATAGCAAGAGCTATCTGTTTAAGAGGACGGAGTGCCTTTGTGGAGGACTTTCTAAAGGAAGCTGGTTCATATCCCAGAGTTGCCAACTCTCCCGATTTAGGCAGGAGACTCCCGATTTTTGATCGCTCTCCCGCCAACCCGATTTACAATATATTTCTCCCGACATTTTCTTATTCTTAATATTTCTCACGATTTTTATGGAACTTGGCTTAATACTTCGTTTATATGGGGGGGGGAAGTGATTATGGACGTCTGAAAGCAACTGAATTTTCTCTAGATTATATCTAAAATAAAACCTTGGGAATCAGATGAGAATTTCTGCTTTGTGAGTGACAGCATACGTATCCAGAACATGGACCTTATAAGAGATAGACTAACCCAGTGGCCGGGGCGCGCGTCATGGACATGTCGGCAAGAAAGAGTAGGAACGATCTGGTTTACTTTAACACTGAAACCTATGGCGTTTGTATCACATAATTCTTTTTAATTATTAAATGTGATACGTTGTATAGTGATGAGATTATAAAAGCCACAGTTTTTTCCAAATAGGATTTAATATATCTCATTAAAGCACATACTGCATTTCGGGCATTTTTTTCACGCGTAATTCTTGTACAGACATTTTTACTTTAGTAAAATGGTCAAAACTCTAGGCACAAAATTTATGAACTTAATTTTGCGCACAAATAACGTAAAATTAAATAAGATTGATGGTACAGGATGCTTTGAAATAAATAAGGTAAAATTAAACAAGATCTGATAATTTTTTTAAAAAATTTAATGACCATTTTCAGGCAAGGATTTTCAAAACTATAATAACATTACAAAACAATCATTTATTTGATTTATATCATCATTAACTTATTAACATTAAAGTGGAATATTTATTTTAGTAATTTATAAAATTTGGAGCATAAAATTTTCTGATTGTAATGAAGCGGAAAAAAATGGTAAAATAAAATCTAGAAGCATTAAGATATTATATTACACCCAAAAGAAACCTTTTTTTAACGTTTTGTGTGTTACCTATATTTATTAAATATCATATTCTTCGCCCGTAAAACCACATACATTTGAAAACAGCATATCTTTAGAAATTACCGGAGATAAACTTTGAGATAAAAATGTTATTATTCCGCACAGTGCTTGCTCTCTCTGAACTCGTTGAGTTTGTTAATCAAAAATTTCGTTAAAGTTTTACAAAATAGGAAATAGAATAATAAAACAAATTAAAATTTAAAATTCAGTTCGTTCCAAGATGCCCAATGTTCGAGGTGGAGGTTTACATTATTCAAAATTTGATGGCTCTAGATACTTTCATTTTTGTCAGATTGCGAGAACCATACATGTATTCATGCAGATTCTTCATTATTGAATTTCTTTGCATAGAATACAGGGCGATAATATTTGGTAACAACAATTTGCAAGAGACACGGACATTTATAGTAAAACAGCGCAAAGTGCCGCTTCGAAACTAACAGCCTTTCTAGGCCACTGCCCCTTTAAGCTAATAAATTAGATTAACAGTAAATAATAATAAAAAAAAAATCTTATGCAGAACTAAAAATAAATTTAAAATCACTATAAAATACAAGCAAAATTAATTATTACGGTTAAATACAATTTTAATATTAGAATTAAATGTATAAATATTTTTAAGGAGTCAAACGTGTTTATCACTATGATGTATTATGAAATATAATTGAAATAAAATTCCTTAATAGAAATTGTGCTATAATACTCATCTATAATTTTAAAAAAGCAGCACAATGTATAATTTTAAACACAACTTTCAAAAATTCGTTTTTAAATATTTTAGTATTTTTTACTTATTTCCACCAATAAAAAGCATAAAAATTTCAAGAGAAAATTGATTATTTGAAATTTTCTATTGGTTCAGATTTAAAATATTATTTTCTAAAAGAAGTAGTTACAAATTTCCTTACAGCATAGGAAAAGCTAAAAGATATCCAGTCCTGAAAGCATGCAATAGCTTTATAATTATTTGGAACGTTAATTATGCTTGATAAATATGCTAAATTGTTTTAATCGATCTGAGTTTCAAAAATAAAAATATGTAGAAATTCTAATTTGTGAAATGAGGCTCTACAACCAGCTTTTTCTTGACAATTATACACGCTGCAATAGGCAACCAATGTTAAATTTCTGCAAGTCGTCCCTACTCCTCTGATGTGATGTTTGCGATGTGTACCGCCTGTCATTGCAATTTTTCGATTTCGCATAGTGGAAGGGCGAATGTTCTCAAACATGTGCGTACACAAAAACACAAGGACAACATAAGTTGTTTTGAAAAAAAAAAACGGAAAAATTAAATTTTTCTTCGGAAACAAAAGACTAAAAAGTCATTAATGCAGAATGTCTGTTCTCTGCCTTTTTACTGGAGCACAACCTGCCACTGAATGCATCGGATCACGCTGCAGCTTTATTTAGAAAAATGTTTCCCGATAGTGAAATCGCTAGGAAATACTCAAGTGCAAGGACCAAAACAGGTGCAATTGTTAAAGAAATGGGTTTGAATAATAAATCTTCAGTTATTGATTGCGTTAAAACAGCTCCATTATGCCTCTCTATGGATGGAAGCAATAATACCAATTCAAAAACTGTATCCAATTGTTGTTTCTTTTTTTTAATCCAGAGTCTTCAGAAACTGAGTGCAGTTTACTTTCTGTCCTCACTTTAGAAGGACATTCGACAGGCTTTAATATAGCACAGCTAATTATTAAAACTTTAAAAGAAAATGCAGTCCCTCTGGATAATTGCTTAGCACTTGGTGCAGATAATGCACCAGTAATGGTAGGCTTGAAGACTGGTGTTGCAGGCATCTTAAGACAGGCAAATTCAGTTTTGCAGATTATGAGGTGCACCTGTCACCTCTTAAATTTAGCAGCTGAAAAAGGGCTTAGCTTCTTTACCAATAAATGTGGATGAACACATTGTTGATATTTAATATTATCTTGAAAGGTGTTCTAAGAGAAAGGAAAAATTGAAACAGTTCCGACAGCTGCATAATACTGAAATGACAAAAATTTTGAAACATGTATGTACACGCTAGCTGTCTTTAAAGAAATGCTTATCTAGAATCCTCGATCAATGGAACCCACTTCTTGCATTTTTTAAAGAACAAGTAAATGCTTTAAGAGTTAAGATAAAAGGCTCTATTGAAAGTTATAAAGTACCTAAAACTGTAAATGGAGATGTAGTTACTACTTCCATTGTTAAAAATAGGTTTGAGAAAAATAAAGTAAATTCTGCATTATTCAGCAATTCAACTGGCATTTCTCAAAATAATACTGCAAAATATAAGCGTAAAGCTGATACAAATTTCTAAGTAAAAAAAACTGCTCAACACACGAAATATTTTCCGATTACTGTAAGTTTATCTTGTGAAAAACAAATATTTATATTTTTTTCTTCAGACCTTAACAAAGCTTTTTGCTTTTTTTTTACAATTCATTTTGCCATCATTCGATGTTCTTAACACAATTCTACAAAGCAGAATTCCATTAATTCATGTTTTTCAATCAATTATTTATGATCTGTTTAAAGACATTTTATCAAAGTTTGTAAAACTAGTCTGTGTTTTGTCTTGAAACTCTATATATGATGTGATTTAAGGTGAAATAGAAAATCAAAAGAAAGATGAAGATTTGGTAATAGGAACTGCAACTACAAAAGTAGTGGAAGAACTTTCAGAAGAAGACAAAAATAAGTTTTATCTTCATGTTAGAAGTTACTTCTGTCGAGTATGTGATATACATACTACATAAATTTCCAGTCAACGATGAAGTGATTTTGCATGCTAAAGTTTGTGATGTTTCTGCTCTAGCAAATGCATCTTTTTCTGATATAAGGTACTTTTTGAACAGATTTCCTGTGTTACTTTGTTTAGTCATGAAAGATGATGATATTCATGTTGCTACTGATATACTGCAGTCGCAATTTTGCAGTTTACAATTAGAAAACTTGGATGAAGTTATAAAATCAGCTAGGATTGACACCCAGTGGAGTTTAATTGGAAAACTGAAAGGTGCTGATGGAATTTTAAAATATAGTGAACTGTCTAAAATTATGTTGGCCATCTTGACAGTTCCCCATATTAATGCGGAGTGTGAGAGGATGTGTTGTTGCGAAAACGAGGACTAAATTTAGATCTAATATGAGTGATGACACATTAGAAAAACTTTTATTAGTGAAAGCAGGCCTACATGGCAATTGCTATGAACAAAATTATGAAGTTTCTTTCTTAACGAAGGCAAAATCTGCCACTGTTCGTAACATTTGTATAAAACTGATTAAAGTGTCTTTTTTTTTTTTAATTTTATTTTAAACGTTGCAAGTAATAAAAATGTTTTTTATGTCTAAGGTATTTTTGTGTTGCTTGCATTTAAGTCTTAGTAATTATTAAAAGTTAATTCATTATTAAAAACTGTATTTTTATCATTTAAAAAGTCTTTTTAACATTGTGAAAAATCTCCTGATTTTTGACTGTCATAGGTTGGCAAGTATGATATCCATGTTACACAGGGGGGTGGGGCATGGAAATGTCCATGCACCTTGCCCATTCACCTGTATTGAACTCAGGTTGAACGATAAAAGTTGCTGAACATGTTCAGCAACTTTTATCGCTTAGCCACTGGTGGGCCACTTTATGGTCATATACAGCAAATAAAACATCACTACTAATGTTTTTCATACTTTTAATTTTTAAAATGAAATATGTAGTTGGTGTAATATGTATATACATAGTGCCTACAAAAGTCCTTACCTGGCCTTTGTTTTTGCAGCTGTTGGTGTAAACATACACTTCCAACTAACAAAAATGTTTTAAATGATGTAAATATTCTTTCCCCCTCAAGATGTGCAAGATCTTCGTCATTCTTGTTCTGAATAAAAATAGTCTTTCATTAAACTAATTAAATTTAATTAACAGATTTCTAAATCAATATTATTATTATAATTACCAAGGATTTAATCTCAGTTCAAAACCGGATATTGTGCTGGAGATTCGCTTCCAACTCCTTCAAACTAGTACAGCATAAAGAAAAAGTACATAGGGTTACTTCAAATACTTGGCTAGAATAAATCAGCACTACTTCGTAATACAAGGGGGTTGCAATACCCCCTAGCCAATGACGGGTTGTAGTCATTTATAGGCATTGGCCACAACCAGAAAGGTATTCTCTTTATTATGGAGGCACCTAATAGGTAGGCCAACCATGCCTTTTCCAGGATTCAAACCCGTGCCCTTCGGTATGGTAGTCTGAGTCACTGACCACTTTTCCTTCTGGGTGGAATGATGCAAATATTAATATTTTGGTATTTTAAATATAAAGAAATCTATTTTTTAAAATTTCGAAAATTTTAACTTTTTTATACATTTTTAGTGCTATATACTTAACTTATATTTGGCAACATTTTGTACTTGTTAAAAAAATAAAATACAAAAAATGTAACTTCTTTATGATAAAAATTGACAGACATATATAATTTCAAAATTCACAATTTTTAATATTCATTGAGGAATCAGCTCATAAATAAATCAGATGTAAAATTTTTTAAATAAATCAAATGTAAATTTAAAAATTTTTAATACATTTGATATGCTGAAAAGTAATTTATATGTTTTTAAAGTCTAAAGATATGTTATTAATGCTATCTTGAAGTTTTATTACTTTAGGATCACATTTTGGTAATTGTACAAAAAATTATGTAAACTACAAATACTTGTTTTAAATAATGCAAATGATTTGAGTTGCCTACATATTAATACTAAAGCCTGTGTTTCTAGATCACGTATTCTATAAAATTCTGTGAATAATATCTGCACTTTGAAAATATTTGTGTTGATCAATATTTTTCTAATTAATCTGCATAGATTCTCATCATTTAAATCTCTTAACATTAGAAACCTTTCTCTAAACTGATAGTATTTTGATAGTTTCATGCAAATTTGAACATTTTACTCTTCAATTTGTGTGCAACCACTAAGTATGATCTCTGATTTTAATATCAGATATCTTGGTCAATTTTCATACATGAAAATTGACTGTTTTATTTTTTCTAATGAGGACAAAGTGTTCTAATTATAAATATAAGATACAGAGAAAATATAGTTTTTTTTTTTTTTCTTTTTTTTTCCCAGAAGTGGTAGCCATTTTACTGTGAAGGCACCTAATAGACAGCCCCCATTACCTCCTATGAAGGGACAGACGATTTTACGTCCATACCTTCTCCGGGATTCGAACTCGGGCCCTTTGGGATCATAGGCAGGCTGTCCTAACCACTAGACCATTTGGGTGGCTTACGTAAAGTTAGAATTCACAATCTTTACAAAATAGATTTCTCTAAATTTAAAAATGTCAAAACCTGAATATTTGTATCATTTAAAACACTATTTTAACCAGAAATTTATGTTCACAACCAATAGTTATGGAAATAAATATAAGTAAGTACCTTTGTGGAGTCAGTGTATAAGTAAAACCTCAGAATAACAGGTAAATTAGCATTATTTAAATTGTTTCTGTTCTCTCTTATGGCTTTCCAAAGATACCGTTTTTCCATAATGTGTTTTATGATACTGTAATTGAGGGTGATTATGGCTCAGATGTGCATGGAATTCCAGGTTTTTTTACATTCTCAAATTTGGAATTTCTGGATTTGTGAAATGTGGACTCCAAATGTTGTTTTAAAACAAGTATATCATTCAGATATTACATGAATATAAAACCTTTAGATTAAATAAAGTGCAGTGAAAGGTCAAACGTGTCAACATTTGTGTGCTTCATTTTAGTATTCTCAATTGTTTGAAATTATATTGAATTTTCCCCCTGGGATAGCTTTCGAGATTTTTGAAATGCAATTAGAATTATTCCAGTGTTATATTTATTTGAATATTAAAATATAGTTTGGTTGCTTGCTTATTTTATCAAATGCATTAAAATATGTGCTTTTGATAAAAAAAGCAAATTCTAAAATATGTAATACTTGTTTAGTTACCAAATGTGTACTTTTAGTATTAATACTAATTGATGTTTAATTTTCTATTTGAAACTCTACAATACAGGTATATATGAAACCCATGGAACCTTGTGATTTTCAATTTATATCTACACATGTGTTTTCCAGCATATCACCACAACTCATTTCAGCTATGATTACATTTAATAATGAGGTATATAAATTATGTGCTTTATGTAATTTTTTTCAGAATTTCAAATTGCAATATTTTTACCTCTTCTACTTTTTTAGCTATTATTACTTAATGATTATGTTTAAAATAAAATGCACTTTTTAATTACACTGATTTTGGATGTCATGTGAGCAATAAAAATAGTAATAACCTGCCAATGAATGTCTACATGTGTTTGAATGTTTTTAAAGAAAGAGCAGCTTAATGTCTGAAGAATATGGTAATACAAATTATATATATATATATATATATATATTTTGGAAAATGCAACATTTTTCTTTTATTGTGAATGTTTAAATAGTAGCAACTGTGAACCTGTTTATTCTAGTGATAAGTGAAAAGTATTTTTAGAGCATAATACAGTTGTAGGTTTATAGTATTTTAGGATGTAAATGCTTATTTCCTCTCTTTTGTGCATGTGTGGGGCAGATGTGTTAAGTGAGGCCAACACTGTGTAGAAGTTTTTGGTGCTGACATTTTGCTGCTTTTTTTCTAAATCTGTAGGATTTACTGACTAGGGAAGCAGGATTGATAAGGTTTTTACATAATTGCAGAATAATGACAAAATGTTAATAATGATTCAGTTTGCATAACATGAAATTTACTTTACTGCATGTGATCATTTCTGAAAGTGCAGCACTCACAACTGCCTGCAGAAGGTTTGATTTGATTTGATGAGATTATGGCAAAGCCACGAGGGATATCTGTCTAAGGACGGGGTACTTTCATGAAACTGGGGAAACTTCTAAGGGAAACTGGTTCGTATGAATGTTATACACGGGGAAAACCATGAAAACATCCATGCAGCCAGTCCATTCGCAGGATTCAAATGTCGGACCGAACTACCAGTGTTTAGCAACTTTTACCGCTCGCCCACTGGTTGCTCCACGTACGTAGGGTAGGAATAAGATTAGAAAATAAGTTTTAATTTTGGTGTGATCTAATTTACTACAGTAATAAAATGCCAGGAACTGACATCAACTGAAATCAGTGCAGGTTAAAAAATAGGTGAAATGTTATATTTTGTTAAAGCTGACATAAGTTTATGTGGATTAAAATGGGGGTGAGTGACATTTTCTCTGCATTGGATCTGGATATATTTGAAGGTATGTTTCATTACCATTTTTTTATAAAGAAGCTGAAACATTCTGGATTGCAGTTAAGGTATGCTCTAATTCAGGGTTTCTTAAACTTTTTGATGTAGGGACCCCCTAATATTTATGAAAATTTTTGGGGACACCATAAGCATTGCACAAATTTGACAAATGCTTGAGTGAAACTATCAGTTTCTTCACTTGTACTGTATTATACTACAGTACAAAGTCTGTAATCTGGACGTCCATTATCTGGAATGATCTATAATCCGGGCCTCAAAGCCATAAACTTTTTCTTCTGTATGCTTTACGCATGCGCGTTTAGCACAAAAAACGACGCAACTTAAACAACGTACATTGAAAGAAATGTTTAATAAAGTAAACAAATAAATATTAAGCCCCCCTTTTTTTTGTAAATTTTGATACCCTTTAGATCATAATTGCTCTTTGTTTCATAAATTACGGTTTCATATTTTTAATTGTATAATTTCTGCATGCCATCTTACCAGATTTAAATTGATCTATAATCCTGAAAAACCCTTAATCCGGAATTGCCGAAGTCCCGACGATTAGTCATTACCGATTAGGTCATTTTTAGACTTTAATTTTTAAAGTAAAATTATAGTTTCTATTATTAAAAAAAGCATCAAAACGTTTTTGCTTTTTCTTTAGCTGTATTGTCTTATCTTTATGATACATTATCGAAAAATATTTAGTAGTTCGAAAATTATTATAAGAAAGATCAAAATAGCTCAATTTTTGGCAGCTCCCTACCCCCTGTAGATCCTGCAACCCACAGTTTAAAAACTTTGCTCAGATTTATTCAAATTCCTGGAAAGATTACAAACCTATTGAATTTGTAAAAGCTGATTTTACATATTTTAAGATTAAATGCAAATATAATATTTTGACTTAGGCTGAAATTTTGAGGCAAAATCATGCTTTTTGTTTTACACAGATTGGCTTATATTTGAAAATATGCACCACATACAAAAGTATTAGATAAAATTCTAACTTTATCTACATTTTAAAAATAAAATTAATGTTGGATTCTGGGGGGGGGAAGGCAAAATTAAAGGCAACAAAATAGTGGAAAATCTGCATCTTCCACTTTATTTCCCAGAATTTGTTTTGCTTCAGTGTCAGAATAAAGAATGTAGAATTTTCTTTGAGACTATATTTCATTTGGTAACAAGAAGTGTTTGCCTAAAATTAAAAGAAAAGCCATAGTATCTTTAAAATTCACTTTGCCATATTATCACTGAACCAGTCTAAACAAGCGCTAAGTACATTGGTGATAATTTTCTTTTGCAGCAGCAAAACAATAATCCTTAAAAGCAAAAGGTATCAAGCGTTATCAATTCAAAAGGTACTCGAACAATTGAGTCCTCTTTTGGGAGCTGATTTGGTAAAAATTTACACAGATGTTTCATCAGATGAGACTATCCAACATGGTGGAGCCGGTATTCACATCATTCTACCAAATGGAGCAACTATACTGCAAAGCCATGAAGCACGCAACACCACTTCCAACTTCACATGTGAAGCAATCCAGAAGGCCCTGAGAATTTACATCAACTTAAATGATAATGATAAGGCCAGCGGAGTTGTCACTCTAAGGCGGCCCTAGAGGCAGTACTGCAAGGGCATTCAAGACTCACCTAGGATGTACACCAACACCTAGAAACAATAAACCAGATGGGAAAGATATGCATTATGCAATGGATACCTGCATATGTTGTAGTCGATTGAAACGAGATAGTTGATGAACTAGCCAAAAAGGCAAGAAATCTCAACAACTCAATCCATGTCACTCTTAAAGATACTAATCCTATTGCCAGATAAAGACTTAAAGAGAAATCTGTTAAGAAAGACCATCAGATATGTGAGATTTATGCAGAGAAATCACAAAGACTATTACTAGACTGAGAATCTGCCATTTTAGAGAAAAGAAAATTAATGAAGAGGGTACCAGATCATACAACTTGTAGAAACTGCAAAATGTAGTTTTCTCCAGAACACATTTTCACCTGCCGGGCAATACTTGCAGCTCTGAAAAGCTCAGAATTTCCTTTCCAGGGAGAGCTGTATAGTGAAAAGAATGTGGAGCTGGCAAAAGCAGCGATTTCCAAACGTGGATCAGTTTGACTTCTCAAAGGACACAACACCAACCGACCAACCAACCAACCAACCAACCGAACAGTACCCCTACTGCCAGCAAATTATTTTAGAATCAGTGCAACTAACTAGCCCCAATTGAAATTTAAGGTAGTTTTAATGTTAAAATTTCTATTCCAAAGCAGTGCTTTATTAAGTTCTCAAAGGAATTTTGGCTGCACACAAAATATATCCTAATTGAAACCCTGATGCTTTGTCATTTCAACTGTTTTTCTTTGATGTTTAGATGCCAGTACATCATCTTTTCATTTAATTAATTTCCATAATCTCATGATGTTAATTTGTATAACAATTTTTTGGTATGTAGGTAAATTACAATAACTTTTTTTGTTTCCTGTTTTTAATTCTAATTAAATTTTATGTTTTTTAAAGTTGCTCTAGATTTTAATGAAACACTCTCTTAACATCAGATAATGTTGAAAAAAGTAGTACTTTTTAGTGCTTTATATTTATAATCACTCTTTGTATCTTGTGCTTTTGTAATTTAATTCTGTGATCGAAATTTGCCATTGAAGCATTCATTATAAACTGCAGTTCTGTATTGAATTTCCATTGATTCAGTAATTATGTAATTATAAAAACTTTGCATAATTTTCTGACTTTTATTTATATTCTAATTTTAGCTTCATTCTGAATTGAATGTGAAGAGATTATGGGGACAAGATGGATATCCTTGGGAATTTAATCTTCGAGACATTTTTAGATGGTGTGAAGCAATGGTTATCAATCAAGTGAGAATTTTTCAAAATTTCTTGATTTCTTCAATTATAGAATCACTTTTATTTTATAGAAATTTTATTGAAATCCAAAATTAATTCGAAAAACAGGGCTCTTCTTTTTAAATGACACCATTGTTTTAACAGTTATTCCATTAAAATCTTTCTTCCATTTCTTATTTTCTACTCATCCCTAGTTAGCCATGAAAATGTATCCTTTTTATGTTATATATTAAATTGCTTACAAATTTTATTGATTACATTTTATATTGAATGAAAATTATGAACAGCAAATAACATAGCTATGGATAAAACATTTTGAAAAGTTTAAGTTCGTGTTGCTTATATTTTTGCAGTTGGCAGTATGTGGCTATGAAGCAATATTTACATATTTAAGCAATTTAATTATTTTTAAAATTTACCTTTAGAGTTTTTTATATGCCTTTCATAAAAATGATAAGATGGCTAAGTGACAAATGGGTTCAGCCATTTCCAATAAATGGTTAACTAACAAATGTCTTGTTCTTAAAAACAAATTTTGTTGCAGTATTCAAATTTGAAATCGTATATAGTTGAACAACTTTAAAAACAGTAGTGGTCTGAAAGAACTTTGCTTGCATACTTTGCCATAATCAAATAAAGAAAACCTGAGAGAACTTTAGAATGAATTGTTCTTTATTCAATCTGTTAGTTTCAAAGTTATGTAAGTAAGATAAAAAGGATGTAAGAAAAAATTCTAACTTTAATTTGCAAGATTCCCTTAAATCCCTTTTAGCTTGGGTATTTTCCCTTTCTCGCCTAAAAGTAACTGGTTATAATAAATTGCATCATTTCAAAATAAATCCATCTCATATGATTCTTACATGACATTAATGATGCATATCTCTACATATAATAAAAGAAAGAGTCTGTCTGTGTGTGTGTCTTTCGTTTGCGATGCGCGTAAGCTAATAGACCCACAGCTACGAAATTTGGTACATAGGTGCATCTAGACAAGAGCCAGTGCACTTTGAAGCGAATTTTTTTGAAATTCGAATTAGAATTCTTTTTATTTTGTTTTGTGAGGAAATCGTGTCATTTTGAGACATAATGGGCTACAGGAAAGCAAGATTTTACTCTACGCACTCCATTTTCACATTGTCATGAAACATAGGCACTTAGCTATTTTACGAACTTAAAATAAATTTCGTGTTTCAATAAATCGATTAAATACGAATTTATTTAACAAAGGGAGCTTAACACCTTTTCAGCGGGAATTTTTTCTAAAAAAAGTTTATATTTAAAAATGTACAGTTTATTTTCCTTTGATTTTTGGACACATTAAACTTTCATCCTTGCGATTGCTTATACAAAAAGAATTTTGGAAAAATTATAATATTTTGTATTTTTAAAAATATTTTTTAAATGAAGCTTCCGAGTACACTTCTCACATCTTTAAAAATGTGATTTTGGCAACAATTTTTCTGTCTTATTGTTGTTGATAGATTTTTGATGAAATCACATCATTTTGAATAGTTTTATTCTTTTAGAAGTATAGGTTTGGCAACAATTTTTCATCGTATTTCTTATGTCACTGTTTTTAAGAGATTGGCATATTTCATTGTCATTTATATATATATATAATACAATTTTATTGATTTTTTTTAATATAAAGTTGTTCTGCAGAGTAAATTTCTGGGCAGAATTTTATGTTTTTTGAGTTGCTTTCATGTTACTTTTTGCTTATTTCACTGTTTGTAAGATATTGAAAAGTTTTGCATGATTTTGTTTCTTCAACGGAAAATTGGTTAATTTTTTTATGAGAATAATTAATATTTGTAGTAAGGGATATAGCTTATTTCATTGTAATTTTTTTCTCTTGAAAATATAAAATAAAATATCATTAATTATACTTTGCTTTTCAGAATTGTTTGTTTTTTATATTCTTTTATGTTATTTATTGCTCATTTCCCTATTTTTAAGGTATTGAAAAGTTTTGAGTGATTTTTTTAGGAAGCAAAGTTCTTAACCTCCTTTATATCATTTGAGTCCTTAAGATTTTGCAAAGGGAAGTTCGTTAATTTATTTATTAGGATAATTAATATTTGTATTAAGGGATATTGTTTATTTCATTGTAATTTTGTTATAGATAATAACTTTTTTTTTATGAAGTTGTTCTTTTTTTTATGAAGTTTATGAGTAAAATTCTATGCAGTTTTTAAATTTAATGTTTGGTGTTCCCTTCAGCCACTTTCCCGGTACATTTTAAAGCCAGACGAAGGCTGACAGCGAAGCTGCTAGTGCTTACATAAAGCAACAGCCAGTAATAATTTTAGAATAATTTGGAAAGTTATTATTAATCAATAGAACCAGAATTAGATTACTGTGAACAGGGATTTCGTCTTGAACATGTAACATTCTTTCTTTCACTTCTCTATTACCAACTTGCTAACATCTGTTGCTACTGCTTGGAATATATTTTTTAAATGTAGTAGTTGTGGATATAATTCTTCAGGCACTTATTGTGCCAAATTATCTGTACTGATTTAAAAAAAAAAAAAAAAAAAAAAAAGAAAAATTTGCCGATCAGAATAAAGAAATAATGACTTTTACCATTAACAACTATGCCATCAATGCCAGACGAAGGCATTGATGGCATAGTTGTTAATCCATAATGTGAGCTTATCTGATCTATTATCTGAATTTCAGTGAAATGGGAAGTAACTAGCAACCTTAAGAATTGTAAATGAACTCATCCTTTGAAAACCAGTTTTTTTGCACAGAACAGTTTCAATGTTATTGAGTTATAGTATGCTTTTTAAAAGGCTGCATTTAAAAATTGGTGTATTTATTTTCATGCATGAGATTTCAAAGATTGGGTTACTTAATTCTGGAAAATTCTGTTTAATTGTAATGCACTGTATAATGTTCAGTTGTTTATGCACTAAAAATTATTTCTAATATAATTTTTATTTTATTTATAGAATGAATCTGATTATAACCTAGGAGAATATGTGAAATTAATTTATGTTGATCGTATGCGCAGTGTTGCCGATAAAATTCAAGTAATATATATATTTACATATATATTTTTAAAAATTTTAAAATGGTATAATGTAATGTATCTTTTAGAAGATACCGTTAAGCATTTATAATTTTTTTATGATAATATTTAATATTTGCTATATGAGGTGTGATTACAACTTTCATTTTTTTCAAAGAATTAAAATATGTGTAACTTTTGTGTAGTGTATCTTTTTATATTGTTGCATTTTTTTTAATGCAGGTATGTAAAGTGTTTGATTCTGTAATGCAACAGTATGGAATGGACAGAAGTTCACGTTATGAAACTGTGAGACATCTGGATTTGAATGTATTTGACAACTGTGTTCAGTTGGGTTATTCTTTCTTACCACGTGTAGGTCAGAATCTTTCAGATGCTAAAATGATGAGTATAGCACATAGACAATTATCTGGTCTTGAATCACTGATGAAGTGTATTGAAATGAAATGGATGGCGATTTTAGTGAGTTTGTATTAATATAGCCTTATTAAATGTACTATTGTATCCATATTAATATTACTATATGATTTAATAAATGATCAATTATTTTATAATTTTTTACAAATAGAAAATATTGAGTTATCTGGAAAGTTCTGTGGTTTTTCAAATCAAAGCCTGTTTTCTAATTATTTTGATACTCCTATTGAGGTGTAACATTTATTGAGGCAGTTCTTAAATATGCTTTTTTCTTTGTAAGATGCATAATTGTAGCGTGTGTTGTATAATTTTTGTTTTAGTATAATGCTAAGAATGGAAAACCTAAAGGTTCATTTTTATCATATTATCCTCTTTAAAAAGAAAGACTTTTTAAAGAAAGACTTGCTGATCAAACTACTCATAAAATCTGTGCTGTATATAAACAAAGATTTTTTTCTGATTACATAGTTTGAATATGGTTTGAGAAGCGTATGAGCAGAAATTTGTACCTCAGAGTTAGTCACTCTGGATGACCATTCTGTATAAACAAGAGCAGCCTATTAAAAGAACCTTTCACTCGAAATTCATGCTATACATTAAGGAGCTATCAGGCAGTTTAAATGTTCCAAAAAACTAAAATGCAGTATATGATCATTTGAAGAATTTTGATTATGCCAGCTGCTGCAATCTATAGGTATCCCATACTTAATATGAGCAGAATATACATGCTCAACATTTGCAAAGTGATCTTTTTCTGAAGAGAAATAAAAAAGTTTCTTTTTAGATTGCTTATTACTTCAAATGAAAAATGGACACTATACAATATCATCATCATAGGTAGCCAGATAGCTCATTGCTTTCCTTTGAAGATTTCTCTATGATGACACTTTTATTAGCTTTAGTTTCTCTTATTAATTGTTAGAAAATCCCACTGCACTGAATCAGTCCATGTCAGCCATTATCTTCCCTGCTTTTATTTCCAGTACGTTTAAAAAGCAGTAATTTTTTTATGACATTTTCATTTGAATTATATAAGCCATTCAATTCATTCTGTCAATTTTCATATATTTTAAGATATCAGGTTGTCCATATATCTTATAAAGCTCAATCCTGTATCTTTTCCTCCAAATGTTATTTTCATTTATATGGCCAAGAATACTCCATATAAATTTTCTTTCAAAAGTTGGAATATGATTCTCCTCGTGCTTTGTCATTGTCCAAGTTTTGGGAGCATATATCAAAATAAGTTTGATAAGCATTTTGTAAATCACAAATTTCATATTTCTTGAAAGAACCCTACCTATTCAAATTTTTAGAAGTCTGTTTCAAGGTAGGGAGCTGGGATCTATTTTTTGAAAATGTATATATATATATTGTTTTCTCTCATTTATAGCTAAGTCCATTTGACTTGCTGGGAACCTAAGCACAATGAAAGCCTTTCTCAGAGCAGAAGAGTCCTCACAATTGCATCAAAATTATCAGCATATGCAAGTAATTGTACCAATTTAGGTATAGTGCTTACCGATGCTGACTGCTATATTGATGGGCTTGGGATTAAATCTCGGAAAATGCATGGATGTTTGTAAGTGCACACACTTAGAAGCAGACTTTTTGCTCACCATGTATTTTGAATGTCCTTTTGCCACACTATACTTTTACAAACAAGAAGTTTTGAGAGGTTGGTGGTGAGGGAAGAGGGGCAGGAAACCCTTAGACCAACCACATTCTTCCTCAAACTGGGGTGAAATTGCACAGTGCAGTAGGATTGTACCTGCATGATCAATGATGAATTTCTGGTGTTCTGCCCACTTTTTCATGTACTAGTCTAGGAAAAATGTGTCCTCTGCTATTGATGCTTGAATCACAAATGACTCTCTTAAAGTGCTATAATAAAAATAAGACAAGAAGAAAATCTCCCTGTCTTACCTCTCCAATTGTGTCAAGATTCTCTGACAGGAGCCCACAAATTTTTATCTTATTTTTGGTATCTTTCAGCATAAGTTCGGGCAGTTTGATAAGTTTAGAAGGGATATAAAAAGCAGTCTTAAAATCACTTAAGAGATGATGACTCACAATATTAAAATCTAATGTTTTTCAGAAATCTGGCAATTCAATTTCAGTAATGCAAGGCAAACTAATGCTGTGATAATTCGTGTAAATCATATCTCCTATCTTTTGGATTGGACACAAAATACTAATAATCCAATCAATTTACATTATCTTGAAGTTCCAAACATTGGTAATTAATTCAAGTATATTCTTCAACAATTCTCTAAAGGCCCGTCTACACATAGCGATTTTCTCGGCCGACAATATCTGAGATAGTTCGCCTGTCCACACGGAACGATTTTTTCGTTATAGTACAGGAATTCACTCAGCCAATCACTATGAAAGTAAGTGTTATTTATTTATTTTTAAATTTCACTTTCTGGCACTCCTATTTGTGCATTTAAATCTTGAAATAATAAAATAACCATGTTTCAGAAAAAATAACTATTGTGCTTTAAATCAAAACCTTTAATCATGAATAAATAGACGATAATATCGTGAATACGAAACCAATATGAGTAAAAAGTATTAATAAAGAATAAAGATTACTACATTACAAAGCAACAGTGTAATTTCAGTGCAAAAATTTTAAATAAGAAATATCATAAAGGTGCAAAGTCTTAAGTAGTATATTTATTGAACATTAAAAAACTAATATCAGCATAATTAAATAACTAATACAGTCTGAAAACTATGATTAGTTACGCTGATCAGTTAATCAGCGAATAAAATTTAGCAATATTGAATTAAATTGGGCTGTAATTTGCTTTCACAAAATTCAATTAACACAAAACTGAGTTTGACTTGTGACTTTCTTTTGACCAGTAGAAATAAAAAGAAAGACGTTAAAATTCAATAAACACCCCACTCATAGGCAAAAAAATAAAACGGACTTTTAAGTCATGCAGTTCGAATTTAGTGATGGAGAAACTAAATTAAAAAGTTCTTCCAGGTGCAGAAAGTCCAAAACTAAAGGTGTGGGATCAAACCCACGATCTCGACGTACGGAGAAAACCTAGTCTACTCTTTACCACTAGGCTATGTTCAGCCTCACATTTCAATGAATGTCAGACAAAAGACTTATGATTGGCATGTCTTGTGTTAGCCTCTGTATATTCACCTGACAATGCCCTCTTGGCTTTTCATCTCTTCATGTCAATTTAAAATTCTCGGCATGGCCTGAAATTCCCTTCTTTGGATGTTGTCTAAGAGCACTTCAGTAACTTCTTTATGAATAAACCTAATGATTTTTTAAAAAAGAAATTTTCCAGCTGCCAGAAAAATGGCAAAACTTCATAGAACAATGGTGCTTAGATGATTCATGAGTTTTTTTTCATGCTATTTTATTTGTATTTATCATCCAAAACTGCAGAAATTTCCAGATTATCCAATATAGCTTCCATAAATTTACATATAAGTATGTTTTATTCTTATATTTCAAACTGAAAATTTTTCTTAAAAAATTTATTATTTTGTCATTCTGGGACTCTTGAAAACTTTATTTAGAAACTGTAACGTAATTTTTTTTTTTAAAGTTTTGTATGTAGTTTTTTGCCTTTTTTTAAACTGTTGGAATCTTTGAAATGTGATCAAAGCATGAGAATAATCACTTTATGCATAATCTGAGCAGTGAGAGGAAGCTATACTGTCAGCATTGGCAGTCACAAGTGAATGTAATTTCAGTATCAATGAGATATAAGAACATATTTTGCTTATTGAATTTAAAGCTGCAGGAATATTTACAAAATTAATATTTGATTTGCTGATGCTAAATTGGATTCTTATGCATTTTCTGAATGCTGTGGAAAACTGGGGGGGGGAACTCACTTTAAGGCACTTAAGGAATGAAACATGATGATATAAAGGGTTTCTTAAACTGTGGGTCGCGACACCTGCAGCAGGGGGTCGGCAAAAATTTTATCAGTTTTGGTAGTTCTTTAACGTATTATAATAATTTTACAATTACCAAATATTTTTACACAGTCTATCTGAAAATAGATAAAAATGAGACAAAGACAAAGAAAAAACAAAAACGTTTTGACGCATTCTTTTTATAATATAAACATTCATTTTACTTGCTTTGCACGTGATACAAGCATTTCATCTGTTACTTATTTAAAATTTTCACATTGTTGTATGTCTTAAAATTAGAAATTAAAGTTAGATGATTAACTATCTAAAACTGCAATAGTGTATTACAGTACAAGTGAAAATTTACAGTTTCACTCATGTGTGTGTCGGATTTTGCGCAATACTTAGGGGTCGTACAAAATTTTTGTAAATATTATGGGGTCCTGATGCCACGAAAAAAATCTCAGTAATAAAAGAGGTTGTAACTGAAAAGAGTTTAAGAAGCCCTGATATAAAGAAAAATATGTACTTTATAGAAAGAGTTTAAATGTATTGAGTAAGCTTACAAAAAGAGAGCTATGTTTTAATTTGCTAATTGGCTCGTAGTAATGATGATTTATGTTATCTGCTAATGAAATAATAGATAGTAACTTTGAGCTTGAAAAAAAAATAAATAGTGCTGAAATTTATTTCTTAGTAAATTGTTCACGTCTGGCTAAAATCAACATGTAAAAATTTCAAAATTTATGAAAATTCTTTTATTTTCTCCAATAATTTGATGCAAGAATCCCCTGCTTTTCTCTCTCTCTCTTTTTTTTAAAATTCATTTCTCCTTCCTGGGATTATTTAGTTGATTAGAGTTAATCTCTTTCATTTTTGTTATTTTTTAATCCTGACTTTTCAGTACTCATAAATTAGACTGCATGATATATTGCTTGGAAGTAAAGATTTTAAATGCTGTGTTCTGTGATGTATTAACCAATGAATCTATATAGTTTCTTTCAAAACTTGACTGCAATGATACAATTTTGCTTTTTTTTTTTTTTTTTTTTTTGTATTAATAACCAGGTTGGACCACCGGGGAGTGGCAAATCAACACTGGTACGTCTTCTGGCTGATCTCACAGGCAATATACTGCATGTTATATCTGTGAATTCAGAAATGGATACAACTGAACTTCTCGGAGGATTTGAACAGGTTTGATTTAATTTTCTTTAAATGTTGCAGCTTTTTCAATTTCAGAAGTAACAATATAATTTCATTAATTACTTGTAAGTTAATAATGTAGCAACTGCATAATGTAGCAATGAAGGGAGAAGTGCGTAAGGAGTTTGTTATTAATGATTTCATTGCTGATGTTGTTGGTATTCTTTTCTTTCTTGTTTTCTAAGGCTGAAGATAGGAATTTTAATGCATAATAATAAATAATTCAACTGTTGCATCAGGTTCTTCTATTTACAATAAAATTAATGTAAAATTCCTTACCTGCTGCATCTTCAGTGTTCTCGATGCCAGGCTTCTAATAATCACGTTTTCCAGTAAGAGTTTCTATTACAATTAGCAGGCCATCTTTTCTTTTAATTATTTATTGAAATAAAAAGCTAATATACACTATTTACAAGGTAGGTGATAACTATTTTAAGACAGTACATTTTTAGTTCTGAGTCTTTACGCTCCTCTGAGCGGTTCCAATCTCTACTGCTACTCGGAACTTAATTACAGCAAAAGTAAAGGAAGAGATGCCCGCCACCTAGGGGCAAGAATGTGACATCCTCCCACCTTTTGATTTTACCTCGATAAAATGGGAAAATCAAAACAAAATTTATCAATAATCAAACAAAAATTCAAGTACAACTTTCACAAATATGAAAAGTAACTAATGCTCTAAAATTAATACTTACAAAGAAGGATTACACATCTAAACATTTTCTGCATTACATTCATACCATATCCAGATAACATGTTCCAATTGACTACTGTTAGGACAATTAAATTTCTAAAATACTGAAAAGAAACAAAAATTAGTATAGCAATTTAAAAATATGTAAGAGGTTTTACAGTTTTACGTCCATATCTAGTTTGATAGTTCATATCACTGTAACACTTATCCGCAGAGTTTTTTATGTTCATGGTGAAGTCACTAAACAAGTTAGGTCTATCAAGTTCGAGAGGATAAATACATTTTCACAGGTCTTAGGAGTTCACCCGTTGCAGTTTTCACTTGACAACACGTACTTCGTTGTCTTTCCCAGGATATAGTTCTACAACACGACCTATTGGCCAATCTATTCTCTTCTTGTTGTCGCTGCCGACAAACACCAAGTCATTTTTGTTGATAGTCCGAGTAGATCGTTTAGATGGTTTTTGCACTAGGATAGCTAAATATTCATCACGAAATCTTTTGCGAAAGTGTTCTCTTAAGTTCTGCAAGAACTTGTATCTTTTTGTCAGATTGATGGTATCCAGGTAGTCTAAGTCAGGCACTCCGACGTCGTGCACATCTTGTAGAAACATTGAAGGAGTTAGTGCCGTAAGATCATTTGGATCTTCTGAAAGGTACGTAATGAGTCTTGAGTTAATCACTGATTCGACATCACAAAGTATAGTCAACATTTCCTTCATAAGAGACACAGGACTTTCCGAGAGAACATTTCTCAACATCTTCTTCACTGTTTGTACCAACCTCTCCCACCAACCGCCCCACCATGAAGCCCCCAGTTGGGGGATTAAACTTCCACTGTATTCTCATACTAGTTTGAATGACATTCTATTTCTTTCCAATCTATCGATCTTAACAGATTTTCAGTTCCAACGAAATTAGTGCCATTGTCGCTGTAAATAATACTTGGACGACCTCTTCTGGCAATAAATCTCCTTAATCCCAAGATGAACGCATTTGTTGATAAACTTTCTATCAGCTCAAGATGTATCGCGCGATAGACTGCGCAAGTAAAGAGCAAGATCCATGCCTTTTTTTCTTTTCTTAAATAAAGAGGACCGGCTACATCGACTCCGGTCACTTCAAACACCAGAGCATCTCGAACTCGATCTTCAGGAAGAGGTGCTGGAACAGTCTCTATATTCTTTGCGCTATATCTTCTACAGCGAACACACACTTCATAAGAACTTTACGTACTGTTTTTCTTCCTCTCAGGACCCAGAATTTCTGTCGAATATTGGCTAGTACGAATTGCACACCAGCGTGGGATAGTCGCAAATGGTAATCTAAAATTAACCTATGAACTAAGTCATGATTTGAGGGCAATACAATTGGACAGAGAAAATTTTCTTCTTCCTCTCTTCTAGTAATCTTGGTCTTTAACCGAATAAGGCCATCTGAGTCAAAAAGGTACAAAGGTTTGCTAACTTTAAGTTCTTTGCCAAATGCTTCTATCTGTATTAATCTTGCATATTTTCTTTTCTACAGGTTTCTATTTCAGGGACCGTGAGTTCTCCTGATTGTTTAGAATCTGGTCTTCTGCAGTTGTTGATAAATCTGCATATCCAAGCAGTTATTCTTAACATTTTATGGTAAGATGAATATTTCTCAAAAAAATGTTCTACCCTTTGCGTATTTAGTGCAGAAATGACTGATTTCCTTTTTTCTGAATTTACTATTTCCATGTCCGGTATTTCCCTTTGTCTAGGCCATTCTTCCTGATTTTTCTTCAGCCAGTCGGGGCCCTCCCACCATCTAACTACTAAAAGTTGTTTAGCGGTGCAACCTCTTGATGGGAGGTCAGCTGGATTTTTTGTTCCAGCAATATGTTTCCACGTTTTTGGATCCGTCAGTTTCCTAATCTCCTGACTCTGTTTTCCACAAAGACAGCCCAGACAATCTCTTCCCTTTGAATCCATGTCAAAACTGTTGTAGAATCTGTCCAAAAATGCGTTTCCACATTTTGCCATTGCAAACCATTTAAAACAGAAGAGCATAGTCTGGCACCTATCGTGGCAGCTATCAATTCCAGACGAGGGATCGTAATAGATTTCACGGGAGCTACTCTAGACTTCGATGCCAACAGATGAACTTCAACTCCAGAATTCGTCACAGTTCTCAAGAAAACTGCAGCAGCATACGCATTACTACTGGCATCACAGAATGTGTGTGAATGCTGCAGAACTTCCTATTGTCCTTGCTGGAATGTATCCAACGTAGGAGGGATATTTCTTTTAAGAGAAAAAGGCTTTTATACCAATTCACAAAATTTTGTTTTGTACTCTCGTCAACTTCAGTATCCCAAGAAATTCCTGTTTTCCATAGGTTCTGCAACAATACTTTAGGATACAAGAGAACAGGACTCACAATACCAATAGGATCAAATATTTTGTTGTGTTACAGCGAGAATTGTTCTCTTCGTTATTATACCCATTTCAAAATCTTCTAGCCAATTCAGATTCAAAGTTAAATTATCTTTCTGACAGTTCCATAACAGACCCAATACGGGTGAAATAGTTTCCTGTTTCAGGTTATCTCCATTATGTAACCAACCTCGAAGATTAAACTTTCCTTCATTCATTATTTCTCGAGATTTTTCGATGAACTGAATCATCTCGGATTCTTTGTCAAAACTGGCAACAACGTTATCTACGTAGAAGCTACGCAAGAGTTTAGCTATTATCTCCGTATCATATGAAGAATTTTTCATGTACTTTTGTAGATGGAATTCTATAACAGCTGCCAAAAGGAAAGGACTACTCTTAACCCCAAATACTACCCTAGTATGACGAAATATTTTCGTTTTCCTTTCTTCCACATCATTCCACCAGAAAAAAACCGAAGTCAAGCCAGTCTCTATCTTGAGGCCTTACACTGATCTGTAAGAAAGCCTTTTCAATGTCTGCTATAGCAGCAAACTTGCCTTCCCGAAATCTCAACAAAAGAGATGGAATTAGTTCTATCAAATTTGGTCCACACTCCAAACACTGATTTAGAGAAGGAGACGATTGTTTCCTCGCAGACGCATCAAACACCGGTCGAATTGGTGTTGAGCTATTTTCTTTGATCACCGGTCTATGCGGTAAATAATGTCCATAGTCAACCGCAATATTTTCTTTAACTTCTTCGATCACTCCTAAGTTACACCAGTCATTAAAAACTGCATTGTATGAAGAAAATAAATTTTGAGATAAAAAGTTTCTGGGTGGTAGATTGTAGACGTTTCAACGCTAAATCCTTGTGGGTGGAGAGTGGTACATGATTCTCCGCCCACGGAAGTGCGACTTCATAACGCCCTTCTTCGTTTAGAGATACAGAATTTTCGAATTGCAATTTTGCTTGCAAATCCCTTTCCTCTCTAGCCTTTTTGTAACTGGATCTGTTATTCCGATAACATCAAGCCTCCACAGTTCTGACAACGTGGCATCAGAAATATGTAAAGATAACGAAAGCGTGGAAAAGGAATTTTCTATTTCATAATTGTCAGTGTTCGCTTTCCCCATGACTGTCCACCCAAGTCTTGTACTTACAGCAACTAATCTTCCCCAAGGAAGAACTTCGATTTTACCTGTAAATAAATTTGCAGCAACATCTGCCCCTAACAACAAATGAATCTCTTGGGGGTTCTCCTGGAATAATCTGCAATTTCCATTTTCAAAAACATCACTGACGTAAATTCCTCTTCTTCTAAGTTCCCCAATCCAGTGTATATTTTTGATTTTAGGGACCGAAGAACATATTTTTCTTTCATCCAATACATTGATTTCGCAATTATACCGTTTATCTACGCTACCCAATTTTATTCTATAACGTTTATGTTTTTCCGAAACTTCTATGCCACCGAAAAGTCCGTGGGTTACACTTGTTCACCTAAGCTTCTTAATTGTAACCTTTCTGCTGCATACCTGCTTATGTATGAGTTTTGACTTCCGGTGTCAATTATCGCTCGAACAAATTGGTTATTCCCTCTTCCATATATGCGAACAATTAAAGTTTGCAAATATACTTCTGAACATCCTGCTTGATTTGAAAGTACTTTATTTTCTATCGAAACCTCGACAGAAGGATTTTGTTTATTACACATAATAGTTGCATGTTGTTTTTTACAAATAGAACAAGTTATTTTTGTTCTGCAGTTTTGAGCCAAATGGTGTAATTTTAGGCATTTATAGCAAGCACATTTTCTTTTTAAAATGTCCCTTTTTTCTTGTAATGATAAGCCGGAAACGAAACTACAGTCATAAGTCTTGTGAAATTG